TAATACAAAGAGTAATTGAAGATAAGAATGTTTAAGAAGATCTAAGAGAGATAGTAGAAAAGTTAAAAGAGAAAAAGGTGTTAAATATTTATACAGATAGGTCACTAGCAAGCGAAGAAATAGGAAATAACAGAGAAAAGAAAATGAGAATAGGCTGGGTAATAGATAATGGATATAGTAATAGTTTAGATAGTATATGTTTTAATAGTAGAATAGTCAACTGGCCCTCCTCAACTCGAGCGAAGTTTGGAGTAATCTGGACAGCAATATTAGCAGTACTATGTGATACTCAAGTTAAGATCTTCTCAGATAGCAAAGCAGCAATTGAAAGAATACTAAGTAACAAATTCTCAAATAGTATTTGAGATCTATTCAAAACTAAGAATAGAAGCTTAATTAGACAAATAAGAGAATGCTACAAAGCTAAAAATATTAAGTTAGAGCTTATCAAGATCAAAAGTCATAGTGGTAACTTATAGAATGACAAAGCAGACAAACTCGCTAAGCTTGGTCTCAATTCACATAAAATAGTTAAGCCAAAAGATGTTGACATTGATAAAATTAAGGTTTTACCTAAATAGAAAAACAATTTGATCGATTGCTCAATAAGAGTCTTTGTAAACATTACTACAGCAATAACCTATGAAACAGAATAGGCAAAACTAAATAATACAAGTGAGCTAATAAATATGAGACCAGCAACTAACAACAATGAGACTATAAATTGGATAAATATATAGGATATGTTAAAAAAATATCAAGGTAGAAAGTGCACAAGTCTCAAGAAAAGCAAGGCTTTGATGTTCAGAATAAAATGCGTGAATAAGTTATTACCAACACGTGACATATGCTACCAAAGAAGACCTAAGTTATATAAAAGTAAAACATATGTAGTATGCTTCAGAACAGAAGAAACTTTTAGCCACCTAGCTACTTGCGAGTTATATCAAGGGATCTGGAAATAACAGAAGAAATAATAATAGAGGAACTAGGTTTGAAAATACTCGAAGAATGTGATTTATTGGTATCAAGTCCTAGTCTTGCGAGTACACTCTTAGGTACAAACTTGAAGGAAAAGCTTAAACGAAGAAAGTTATACCTTCAAGGCCTCATAAGCAAAAAACAAACTAACAATATTAGATTACTGCTAAGCTCCAGATCTAAAGCTAACCAAACAATAAGTTGGTTTATTGATATATTTTGGTTCAATTTTTATGAAAAATTATGGAAGTTTCATTGTGAAGTTATAGCAAGTTGAGAAAAAGAAAATAAGATCAATATGTGAAAGAAGAAAGGAAAAAAGAAGAAACAGTCTAGGTTTAGCCTAGCAAACAAAGAGAATAATGCTCCAGAAAACTCTCAAAAGAAAGAATCAGTAGCTGAGAAAAGGAAAAAAATTTTAAAAGATTCAAACAACCAAATCTCGAGATGAATTGAAAATGCAGATCACGAGAAATGATTAAAATTTAAAGTTAAATAAGCTTTCTTGATATGAGCTAGTAATAGCCTTCTTTTAATAAAGTCTAAATAGGTATGTTTAAACATATGTTTAGTCTCAGGAGAAAAATGCTACTGCAGCAAATCGCACTTAGGCATCCTTTAGACAGCTAAATGAGTTCAGAATTGCAATAAGGAAGGTAGTTTTAAAAGTAGAATAGTTTTTTTTTCTTTTATTATGTACCTGTCTAAATATTTTTTTTTTAATATTTCTCCTAATAAAATGAAGGGCAAGATCGTCTAAGTATAAAAAAAAAAAAAAAAAAAAGATATATTAGTTTAAAAAAAATCAATAGTAATTCAAATTGTTATATAACTAATAAAAATACTTTTTATATTTTAATAAAAAAATTTTTATAAAATTTTAATATAAACTAAGTTTTGCTTTAACTTTAAATTAAACAGAATAAAAATATTTATTTTTGCTTTGTTTTGATTTTACGTTATATAATCTATAATAAATACAACAACATCATACTTGTGATATTTCCTTAAACTTTTCTAATTTTATTTTAAAATTTTACGATTTTTGATTGGTTATCACCTCTTCGGAGATTTTCGTAAGTGATCAGCAATTTGTGTAACTAAGAAATGTCCCTCCTGTATATAAAACCTGATTTGAATGTAGATCTTAAAATTTGAGCCCAGGCCTGGCCCGGCCGTAAATTTCCAGGCTTAGCCCGGCCCATTTCATTCACTAGTACTGTACGAGCGGCCAAAATTTTGGGGCAAAAGCTCTTGACTATCACTGTGATAATTTAAAATGAGAAAGATTAACTCATATTTCAACTAACTTAGCGAAGCTTTCAAATTTAGCTGTTTCTTCTACTATCAGCCTTACTGCCTAGACAACAAAAGCCATCATATTTAATTCATTGTTTGTGAGTAATGTCCTTCCAAACGAACTCCGAGAACTTACTCAGATACCCTGAACAAATGCAACACGATGGTCTTCTCAATGAACAAGAAAACGTATGTACTCCCCAGTCGAGTTTGCTAAAGAATTGCGTCATTATGACAAAAATTACGAAAATTACTTACTGATCCAGTCTTGTCTAAAGCTGTCAGACTTTTTGAACTTTGTGTAATCATATACATAATATACTCATTACATGCCACTTCTAAAATCGATCAGAAATATCTTGCTGATTTCTTAAACACGCTTGCAACCGAAGAGCCCCCGAGCAATATGATGGACCTCACGCCAGCTCCCATTCCGTTTCCAGGTAAACTAATTAATTAGTTTAAAATGTTTTATCAACCTATTTGAAATTCATGAAGAAATAAATTATAATGTAATAATTAATGTATCGAAAAAATTATTAAATCATAGACACAGGTTCTCAACCTCCCGTACAGACATCTAGAGGGTTTCCACCAGGGTTTGGTCAGAATTTTGAAGCAGGTGCTGGATATCCCGGAGCTGGTGGTTATATATATCAACCTCTCGGCTCTGATCCTATCACCATACCAAATAATAACGGCTATTCACAACCCCCGAATTTTCAACAAGCTCTCCATGTTCATAATGCCTTTGTACAACCATCATATCATCAGATACAAACTTTGAATAATGGTGTGATTCATAATATTGGAAAGTCTAAATCAATCATTGGTAATCAATCATCCGCTTTATACATCAAAACAGAACCGATTAACATAAGTCGAAGACAACGTTCCCCTTCACCACAACCAAGTTTGATTTCCAAACAGTCTTTAAGGCGAACTCCTTCTCGACGAAAATCAATCAAAAATGATCCTGCCGCAACTTCGTCAGAAGCAAAGTCGGAAGAAGGCAATAATTCGGAATCGTCGACGACACATCTACAAACATTGTCTTCAACATCAGGAATAAATGGTGCTTCAACTTCATCAACACCTGGATCTCCGAAAATATTATTAACGTCTGAATCGAATAATAATCAATCTCCATCAACACCAGCGCCAAACCGAAGGGGAAAGAAAGGTCATCACGAACTTTTAACCGAAGCCGAGAAAAAAGCGAATCACATCGCATCAGAACAAAAAAGACGACAGAACATACGTTTAGGTTTCGATCAGCTAGTTGAAATTGTGCCTACTCTTAGCCAATGTCATAGGAGTGAAGCACTGATCTTACAAAAATGTAAAATTTTTTTAAAAGAATATTGTTATATTCAATTCTGAGAATTTATGATCTCATATTAATTTTCTATTTATTTTTGTTTTAGCTGTGGAGTATATTCAACAACTTCTAATGCAAAAAAATGAATTAAAAGAACGAGTTAAATCTTTACAGGCCACACTTGGTGATGCGTGAGTTTGAATTTTTTTTTTTTTTTTTTTTTTTTAAAAAAAGAATTTTATATCAAAAACTTTGTATATATATAACGACTTGTTAAATAAATAATTATATATTATTAGTCCTGATCATCTAGATGATTCGGTGAGTATATGACTATGTGAAGAGAATTATTTCTTAATTTTTACCGACAATACCTTTTTTAATGTTTTTTTTTTAGTCATCCGACGGGGAATTAGACCTAATTTTCTGACTAGTGCGAGAAAAACGAAAAAAAATCGCATTTTGATTATCCTTGCAAGACCAAACTCCAAATTTAGTTTCAACTTTATTCTTGTAAAATAATTTTCTAAATTTTAGAGCTAGGGAAAGATAGTTTGATTTTATTACAATGCTGGTGTTTGATCATGCGACTTTGCTTTATTTTTTTACTTGATTAACATATAACAGTAATGGCACCGAGATTATATATTTAAATTCTATTTTTTTTTGTTTCTATTTCGGAAATACATAAAAGAAATATTTTATATAATAGAAATTTTTAAAAAAATTTTTTTTTTGTTATTTAATTACAAGTTAGTATTATATAAAAAAATATATTAAAGACTTATAAATTAAAAAGATTTAACTATTTTTTTTTATATTTATTTTATTGTTATAGTTTTTTTTATTTTTATTTATTTATTGATATATATAGAATGTTATTATTACAAATAAGTATATTATTACTATATTTGGTTATTATTTATTTTCAATATGTTTACAAAAAAAAATTTTAAATAATAAGAGTTTGAGGTGTAACGTGTAAATCAATTTTTTTTTTAAAAAAATGCTCATGAAACCACCTTCGATGTATTAACAAAAAAAATTTTTTGCTAAATTTTACATATATTCTAATGTTTAGATAAAATCTCAGGCCTTGCTCTAACCCTAAAGTATATGAAATTAATTTTTTTTTTGGTTTATTGTTATTGATTTATATGTTATACACAAAATTCTGATGATAACTATCAGTGGCGATAAATAGTAATTTTCTAAATAATAGTTTTTGGATTTTAGAATATAGTGCATATGCATCTTTTAATTTAGCCAATTAAATTTATAAATTATTTGTACAACATGAAGATCTTGTATAATAAAAAAAAACTTTAAACTATAGAGGATTTTTGTATTTTTCAGAAAAGCATAGAAGTTTTTATATATCAATTGATTAATTAGAAACCATATTGTTAATAAATAATATAAGCAGATAGATAATTATTGAACTACATAGTTATATTTTAGAAAAATAAAACTCTTTAACTAGCTTATAATAACAATTTATAAGTATATAAACTTATTAAAAAAATCTTTAATAAAAAAATTATGTTTTTAAAGACTAGTGATCTTAGTGTAATGGTTAGATTGCCAGACTATCATACAAGAGATCTGAAGTTCAAATCCTACTATTGACAAATTTGAATAATTATTTAGATTTTTGTATATAACTTTCAATAAACTTTGTTTGTTTCTAAAGTTGTAACCTTGTAAATCAAGTTTTACTAAGTTGATCAAATATTAGAAATGTAATATAATATTATATGAATAAATCTTAATAGAATCTATTAGCAGGAAACTTGTATAGTAGAAATTCTAAGTAGTGAGGTAGTATAATCTTTAATAGTTATACTAATAAAAACTAAAATCTGAAAAAAGAAACTCAAATATAAGGGTATAAGTAAATCTAATCTGTTGATTAGTAACACTAATCTGGTTAGGTAGCTAACTAGATTTGAAAGGATCTGACTATTTAAAAAATACAAGACACTAGTAAAGGTATAAAAAGTTGTAACTAAAGTTATATGAATACTACAAGAATCTAATTTAGATGATCCTATAAAATAAGTATAAGCTGCTCTTATAGGTTTGCTTCAAGATTAACTAGCTCTATAATATTTACAATATATTAGATATAATATAACTTGAAAGAACCTAAGCTGATTTGAGTAAATAGATCTATAATAAGCTAGCTAGCTTAAGCAATTAGATATTATAGTAATATTAGATTTGGATCTGTATAGATTAATGAACAAAGTATTTAAATAGATAACTCACAAATAGGTTACAGATATAGTAGTATAGTATAGAACTAATTAGATAATTTAATCATCTGTATGGTGAATTATTTAAAATAGACAATGATTAAAGTTATACATGTAGCTTGTTATATACTCTTCATGTAATTACAAATAGTAGAGATTATTAATATATAATTCTATATCACAAAACTAATAAAATTCCTTTAGTAATATAAGCTATCTTAAACATAAAAAAAAAAAAAATTATATATTTTTTATTAAGATTTTTAAACTTTTATATAATTAACAAAACTATAAAGGTCTGATAATCTAGTATAATAGTTAAATAGATCTGAGGTTTAAATCCTACTATCAACGAATTTGAATAATTTCTTAGACCTTGTGATACATTATAGTAAACTCTGTTCATTTCTGAAGTATATCTCTGTAAATTGAGTTACACTAAATTGATCAAAACTTGGAAGTGTAGTATAATATTATACAAATAAATCTTGATAAAATATACGAGCAGAAAACCTATATAGTAGTAATTCTAAGTTAGTAAAATAGTATAGCTTTTTAATAGAACTATATCAGCTAAAGTCTGATCTAAGAAAAAAACTTAGTTTAATAAAGGTAGAAGATTTCAAGATCTCTAAATAAAGAATAATTAGGACTAGCTAGATACTGAAAAAGAATTAGAACAACTAATAAGTGGAAGACTATAGTAGAACCTAAAGTTGTATGAATATCTACAAAGATCTAAACTAAGTAAATCTAAAAATTGATATAGACTACTCTAGTAGATTTGTTTTGAAATTAACTAGCTCTGCAATACTAATAATGCATATAGTATAATATATTCTAAAAGAACTTAAACTATTCTAAATAAATAGATCTGTAATAAGCTAGCTAGTTTAAGTGGTTAGGTATTGAGATAATATTAGATTAGATCTGTATAAGTTAATGAACAGAGTATTTAAATAGATAACTCATAGATAGGTTATAGATATAATAGTACTCTAGTCATATAAAAAAAAAGTGACAGTTATATGTAGATTCTACTTGAACTATGTAATGATCTGCACAATTTAACCAATAATCATTGACTATGTATAAATTAAAATTTTATAAAGATATTGATGTTTTTAAACCTTTTTGAAAATTTAAATAAAGATAACTTACTTACTATTCAGTTAAATTTGATAAATTTTTTTTATTTTTATTCTAATTATTTAGAATTAAAAAAAAAATTTATTGTATTTGATTAAGTAGTTGTTAAGATATTTTTAATTGAAGTAAAAAAAAAACTTATATTAGTCTTGTAATAACAAAAAAACTTTTTTCTTTTAGTATTTGTTTTCTTTAACAAAATATTTTTTTCTTGATTATATATAGATATTTAGAGTTATTGTATTTATTTTTATTATATTATATTTTATAGCAATGCATTTATATTATAGAATTTGTTATACTAACTAATAGTTCTTTTTTTTAGTTATTTTCTTTGGATAATGAACTTCTGATTAAATTTTTAAAGACTTTCTTGAAATAAAACAGAGTTAGTAGTATTAAGTAAGTTAGTAGGTATAGTGTTTAGCTCTTTGAGTATAAAATTTTATAATAATCAGTTAGATGGTTGTTTAGATAATCTAATTTTTCTATTTTATTTCTAGAATCAAATTTTTTTTTGCTATTCTTGAATAGAAATTTACTTCTGAAAGGAAATTAGTGAAATGAACTATGGTTTATACTCCTAAATAAGTTAGTAGGTACAGTATTCAGCTCTTTAAATATAAAATTTTATAATAATTAGTTAGATAGTTGTTAAGATAATTTGATTTTTTTATTTTATTTCTAAAATCAAATTTTTTGCTGTTCTTGAATAGAAATTTACTTCTAGAAAAGTATTAGTTAAATAAAATATAGTTTATAATCTTAAGTAAATTAGTAGGTATTGTATTTAGCTCTTTGGGTATAAAATTTCATAATAATTGGCTTGATAGTTATTAAAATAATTTAATTTTTTTATTTTATTTCTAGAATTAAATTTTTTTGCTATTCTTAGATAAAAATTCTTTTCAGAAAGATATTGGTGAAATAAACTATGGTTTGTGCTCCTAAGTAAGTTAGTAAGTATGATGTTCAGCTCTTTGGATATAAAATTTTATGATAATTGGTTAAATAGTTGTTGAGTTAATCTAATTTTTCTATTTTCTTTCTAGAATCAAATTTTTTTTTGCTATTCTTGAATAGAAATTTATTTTTGGAAGAGTATTAGTTAAATAAAATATAGTTTATAATCTTAAGTAAATTTGTAGGTATTGTGTTCAGCTCTTTGGGTATAAAATTTCATAATAATTGGTTAGATGGTTGTTGAGATAATCTGACTTTTCTATTTTATTTCTAGAATTAAATTTTTTTGCTATTCTTAGATAGAAATTTGCTTCTGAAAGAATATTAGTAAAATAAACTATAGTTTATACTCTTAAGTAAGTTAGTAGATACGATATTTAGCTCTTAGAATATAAAATTTTATGATAATTGGTTAAATAGTTGTTGAGTTAATCTAATTTTTCTATTTTCTTTCTAAAATCAAATTTTTTTTTGCTATTCTTGAATAGAAATTTACTTCTGAAAGAATATTAGTAAAATAAAACAGAGTTTTTAGTCTTAAGTAAATTGGTAAGTAAGGTATTCAGCTCTTTGAGTGTAAAATTTCATAATAATTAGTTAGATAGTTGTTGAGATAATCTGATTTTTCTATTTTCTTTCTAGAATCAGATTTTTTTACTATTCTTGAATAGAAATTTGTCTCTAGAAAAATATTAGTAAAATAAACTATAGTTTGTGCTCTTAGGTTAGTTAGTAGGTATAGTATTCAGCTTTTTGGGTATAAAATTTCATGATAATTTATTAGATAATAGTTGAGTTATTTCAATTTTTCTATTTTCTTTCTAG